GAAAGATGAATTAGATTGGAAAAAAAGGTTAAACCGATTCTTAATAATATCGATGTCAAACGTACCATCTGTAGCAGTTATCTCTGGTGCTGAAAATGGAAAATTACAAAGGATAAGATAAATTGAAAACAAAAGTGTAAGACTAAGTAAAATCGAAGCCAAACTTACCGTCTGTGGTGGTTATCTCTGGTGCTAAAAAACGAAAAATATAAGAGATAAGATAGACTGAAGAGAAAAAAAAACAAAACAATTTTAAGTAATATCGATGGCAAACCTACCATCTGTAGTGGTTATCTCTGGTGCTGAAAATAAAAAAAAGGAGGAAAGAAAAATTAGATTGATTATAGAAGCTTAAAGTAATTGAAACCCTAAGGAATATCTATCCGAAAGGTATATTGAATATAAATATATGTAATACAAATGTACATTAAAAGGCGTATTACCTGTAGTACTCTTCTCCGGTTCTAGCAACGGAAAGAAAAAAGATATTCTAAAACTGATACTGTTATTAAATTTGATTGAAAGACAAACATTCTCGAAAAAATTAAATGATGCTTTTAAAACACTTACGATCTGTGGTTGTTTTAACGCTTTTAACTCGTGCTGCAAATGAAAATGCAAGAAAAACAACTTCAAGATAATAGCAATAAAACATACTACAGAAGAAAGCAATTCCAAGTGATGTCAATGCTAACTTACCATCTGTAGTACGTATCTCTGCTGCTAAAATCGAAAAAACACGTAACGTGAATTACATAAAAAAACAAAAATGAAAAGTAGTAATAGTAATACTGATGCCAAACTTACCATCAGTAGTAGTCATGCCCGGTGCTGGAAAAAAAACAACACGAAAGATGAATTAGATTGGAAAAAAGGTTTAACCGATTCTTAATAATATCGATGTCAAACGTACCATCTGCAGTAGTTATCTCTGGTGTTGAAAATGGAAAATACCAAAAGTAAGATAGATTGAAAACAAAAGTGTAAGACTAAGTAAAATCGAAGCCAAACTTACCGTCTGTGGGGGTTATCTCTGGTGCTAAAAAACGAAAAATATAAAGGAGGAGATAGATTGAAGCCAAAAAAACGAAACAATTTTAAGTAATATCAGTGGCAAACATACCATCTGTGGTGGTTATCTCTGATGCTGAAAATAACAAAGCAGGAGAGAAAAATTAGACGGATTATAGAAGTTAAAGCAATTGAAACTCTAATGATTATCTATCCGAAAGGGTTATTATTTGTGAAAGGTCTGCTATCTGGAGTACGTATCTCTGGCCCTGCAAATAAACAAGCCCTTCTAATAAATAATAGCAAAACTGCTCGTGTTCAATTTATCAAATTATAACCTGGCTCCGAGGCTTTCTGCCCAAAATTGCAAAGTTTGTAAGTTTCCTTTCTCCGTTAATTTCCACAAGAGACTTAATACAAACAAACCATTACCAAATATAAAAGTTTGGCGGAAAGCCTCGGTGCCATTTTTTGAATTTTGATATATCGAGCGTGACCTATAAAAATGTTTTCAACAATCACTCAAGCTTTAAATGAACAGGATATAGATATAAAGTGAAAAATTGATGCTAATTATAAATAACAAAATGTTAATCAATTTACTGACAAATGATCGTACGTAAAATTTCCAGTCATATTCGAGATAAACATACCTTTATCTGTAGTTGTCATCTGCGATGCTGGAAAATAACGTTATGGAATATGACTTGTAATTAAACAGTTGTTAAGAGATGAAATCGGAATGAAATACAATCATACCTTACAACAAGAAATAATATAATATAAATGTGTATTAAAAGGCTTATTACCTGTGGTACTTGTCTCTAGTTCTAGCAACGGAAAGAAAAAAGGATACAGTAAAAGTGATGCTATTATTAAATTTGATGGAAATACAAAATTCTCGAGAAATTCAAGTGATACTTATGAAACACTCACGATCTGTGGTTGTTTTAACGCTTTTTACTTGTGCTGCAACTGAAGATGCAAGAAAAACGACTTCAAGATAATAACAATAACAACACAGTACAGAAGAAAACAATTCTAAGTGATGTCAATGCTAACTTACCATCTGTAGTAGGTATCTCTGGTACTAAAAACGAAAAAACAAGTAACATTAATTAGATAAAAAAAAAATTAAGAGTAGTAATAGTAATATTGATGCCAAACTTACCATCTGCAATAGTCATGCCCGGTGCTGAAAAAAAAAAAAAACACGAAAGTTGAATTAGATTGGAAAAAAGGTTAAACCGATTCTTAATAATATCGATGTCAAACGTACCATCTGCAGTAGTTATTTCTGGTGCTGAAAATTGAAAATACGAAAGGATAAGATAAATTGAAAACAAAAGTGTAAGACTAAGTAAAATCGAAGCCAAACTTACCGTCTGTGGNAACGTACCATCTGCAGTAGTTATTTCTGGTGCTGAAAATTGAAAATACGAAAGGATAAGATAAATTGAAAACAAAAGTGTAAGACTAAGTAAAATCGAAGCCAAACTTACCGTCTGTGGTTTTTATCTCTGGTGCTATAAAACGAAAGATATAAAGGATAAGATAGATTGAAGACAAAAGAAAACGAAACAATTTTAAGTAATATCAGTGGGAAACCTACCATTTGTGGTGGTCATCTCTGATGCTGAAATTAACAAAACATGAAAAAAAAATTAGACTGATTATAGAAGCTTAAGGCAATTGAAACTCTAAGGAATATCTGTGCGAAAAGGTTATTTTTTGGAAAAGGTCTACTATCTGTAGTACGTATCTCTGGCCCTGCAAATAAACAAGCCAATTTAATAAATGATAGCAAAACCGCACGTGTTTATTATATCAAATTATAACCTGGCTCCGAGGCTTTCTGCCCAAAATTGCAAAGTTTGTAAGTTTCCTTTCTCCGTTAATTTCCAAAAGAGACTTAATACAAACAAACCATTACCAAATATAAAAGTTTGGCGGAAATCCTCGGTGCCATTTATGAATTTTGATATATCGATCGTAAACTATAAAAATGTTTTCAACAATTACTCGAGCTTTGAATGAATGGGATATAGATATAAAGTGACAAATTAATGCTAATTATAAATAACAGAATGTTAATCAATTTAGTCACAAATGATTATACTGAACAATTTCAGGTCATAGTCGAGATAAGCATACCTTTATCTGTAGTTGTCATCTGCAATGCTGGAAAATAATGTTATGAAGTATGACTTGCAATTAGACAGTTGTTAAGAGATGAAATCGGAATGAAATACAATCATACCTTACAACAAGAAATAATGTAATATAAATGTGCATTAAAAGGCTTATTACCTGTGGTACTTGTCTCTGGTTCTAGCAACGGAAAGATAAAAAGGATACAGTAAAAGTGATACTATTATTAAATTTGATGGAAATACAAAATCCTCGAGAAATTCAAGTGATACTTATAAAACATTTACGATCTGTGACTCTTTTAACGCTTTTAACTCGTGCTGCATCTGAAGATGCAAGAAAAACGACTTCAAGATAATAGCAATAGCACACAGAACAGAAGAAAACAATTCTAAGTGATGTCGATGCTAACTTACCATCTGTAGTAGGTATCTCTGGTGCTAAAAGCGAAAAAAGACGAAACATGACTTAGATAAAAAAAAAATGAACAGTAGTAATAGTAATACTGATGCCAAACTTACCACCTGTAGTCATGTCCGGTGCTGGAAATAAAAAAAAAACGAAAGATGAATTAGATTGGAAAAATAGGTCAAACCGATTCTTAATAGCGATGTTAAACGTACCATCTGTAGTAGTTATCTATGGTGCTGAAAACGGAAAATTACAAAGGATAAGATAGATTGAAAACAAAAGTGTAAGACTAGGTAAAATCGATGCCAAACTTACCGTCTGCGGTGGTTATCTCTGGTGCTAAAAACAAAAATTATAAAGGATAAGATAGATTGAAGACAAAAGAAAACAAATCATTTTTACGTAATATCGGTGGGAAACCTACCATCTGTAGTGGTTATCCACGGTGCTGAAAATGAAAAAATAGGAAAGAAAACTTAGAATGATTATAGAAGCTTAAAGTACTTGAAACTCTAAGTAATATCTATGCGAAACGTTCAGTCTGTAACAGTTACCTTTGTTCCAAAAGACGAAAAACACGAAGGATAGAAAAAATTAATGACAACGAGAAGCTAAATCTAATTCTAAGTAACATCTTTGCAAAAGTTACTATCTGTGGTAGTTATCTCTGGTGCTGTAAATGAAAACAAATTCGGATGATAAGTTAAATTTAAAACAAATTAAAACCAATTCTAAGTACTATTGTTGCCAAACACACCACCTGTGGTAGTTCTCTCGGGTACTGAAGATGTAAAGGCGAGAAAGAGAAATTAGATTGAAACACAAAAGTTCAGTCCAATTCTAAGTAACATTTATCCCAAACTTACCATTTGTAGTAGGTATTCCTGGTGCTGAAAGCGGAAAAACAGGAAACATGAATTAGATTAATAAACCACAGAAAAGAAGCAATTCTTTTTAATATCGATGTCAAACTTACCATGTGTAGTAGTCATGCCCGATCCTAAAAATAAAAAAAAACGAAATATAATTAAAATTAGATTCAAAAGCGAAAAAAAAAAAAAAAAAA